ATTAACTATAATGTTCACTATAATAAGCCCATGTTGCTTATACTGTATTTATCTTATTATATAAGACTGAAACTAAAACTTGCAATTTAATTTTATTTATTAAATTACATAACACTTTATTTCATATGTATTAATATACTGCTAAACCTGAAGTGGCTTAAAATAAAATAAAATAAAATAAATATTAATAATAAAATAAACAAAAATTTTATACAATTAAATTAAATTAAATTTAAAATGGATTAAAATAAAACAAAACAAAACAAATAAAAACAGAACAAAACAAAATAAAATAAAAGATAAAATAAAATAATTAAATTAAATAAATAAAATAAAAGAATAAAATAAAATAAAAGATAAAATAATTAAATAAAAGAAAATATAAATAAATATTAAATAAATAAAATATAAATAAAATACATATTCAAAAGATAATACACTTCAAAAATGTATTAAAAAGACACTTTAAAATAAAAAATTACTTAAATTAATAAAATAAAGAAAAGACAAATAAAAAAGCAATTATGATAATGACATCCACTTTCAAGCCCACTGATGAAACGTACTCCAGCTCTCTCTCTCAGATCATGTGCGAGTTCTTGCCCTCTTCTCACCCGAGGGGTCGTTTTAATTTGTGTTATGATGCATGTAACTAAATTAAGATCAGCTCTAATGATACTGCCAGCACTCTTGTCAGTGTGCTAACAACTGCCAGGCACCTAAAGAAAGACTGACTTAATCAACACAAAATCAAAACTGATCCTAAATATGACGTGAGAGCTCATTTAACTGTTTCATCTAATCATTTCAGATGAAACAGTATTTTCATAAAGACATGCTTTCCACCACAAAGTGCATTGCACTGAACTTTATATAGCCATGCAATTTGATAAATAAAACCAGTATCATATTTATGATCATGATATCACTGCTTTTAGGGAAAACCACACTTATTCTGTGTGAAATTAACTGTATATTTATATATTTACAGACTAATTTTAATAGGCTTAATTTTACAGTGAATAATGATGGGTGTGCTTTTGTTTTGTTTTTGTTTTGTTTTGTAAAATGACTGGAATGCTTTATAATGTCTGCATGAGTTAAAACTATTGCAATATTATAGAAAGCAAATGTTTCCCATCCAACACAGCACTCTGATTTTCATAATGAAATCTTATCAGGGGAAACCAACTGGTGCATGAGTGATTATCCATACCTTAAATGGGGTCCAGGGCCAGGCTGACGGCTCACTGCCTTGGTAGGGGCCCGGATTCTGGTTGCTGTAGTAAGAATAGGAGCAGGAGGAGAACTGTGGCTCTGGGGCCCACTGGTTCTGATGGTTTCCTATATTAGCAGGGGCCGCTTGAACACCGTAGTACGACTGGAACATTGCTGCACGCTGAAAACACAACAAATTCCAATGTGATGCATCTCTTTTTGATTTACTTTTTCAAGGGAACATATTAAGGCCTTTTCCATGAGAACTTAAATACATCTCTAGTATGCCAGAATGTGCATGTGATGATGATGATTATGATGATGATGTGTGAGCCCAAAATAGCCCACAGATCATTAATTATAAAGTGGGGAAAATACGTAGGCATGTTTTAGTGATGGCAGCTTAAAGACGCCTCTCATATGGAGAAGATAGTCTTGATGGTTCTGTGGATCTCGTCTATCAAATCTGAGCTTTAACTTCAGGTCAGGTGATTGGCTAGGCCATTCTACAGCATGATTGTCTTTCTCTGAAAGCATTTGAGAGTTTCCTTGAATGTGTTTTGGATCATTGTCTTGCTGAAATGGTTTCATCTTCATCCTCCTACTAATGTAGATGTTGGACTGAAGCAGCTGATATTCATTTACAATGACGAAGGGCAGAGTGTTGCTGAAGAACTACTGACAGATTTCAGCTGCTGTCTGGGCTTTCACTGCCTTTCTACATCAGCCTTTCTTCATGTGTTCAATACTTGTTCTCTGCGTCATTTTATTATGTTAAGTTTATTTATAAACTAATTTCCAGGGGATCACGTGCTTATGATTGATCACGCATTAATTAATGCCGGGTTCAGACTGCACAATTTTCAATGTAGTCTTGTCACAGATGTTTTCACACTGCATGAATATCGGGGTTAGCATTCTGTCGGTGATGTTTTAACACTGTAGGACGGATCAACGACAGGAAAGTTCACACTGCATGACTTTAAAATAGGAAGAATCACAGACGACTTTGTCCAAACTACGTCTCACAACCAAAAACACGATAAGTGACATGGAAACAGCGCGAGGTCACGTAATATCTCTTTCGAAATTAATTATATAATGGAAAAAGATGGCTTTAGCTGTAGAAACTTGTGTTGCTTACCTGGCTTTTACAGAGAATTAACAATTTCTCCTAAACCTTTTTTTACTTCTTAACCTGATTGTGATATTATACAGATGAGACGTCAAACAGACAGAGCACTCCTGGCAAATTTACACTAGTTTTTCCTCCATTTCTTGGGTCAAAATAAACTGAAAATGAGCGCTTTTATCTTCTCCCCCAACCACCCGCTGGCCTGCAGGTACTCATACTAGTGAATGCTGCCCTCTTATTGGCTGTCGGTGATCGCGGATGTTATTTTCAATCAGAAAACATTTCACACGGCATCAGTGACTCATTGGCGATTCTCTCATTTGGCGTCCTTGATAGTTCATACTGTGTGATTGTCACTCGTGTGCACGAGCACCGAATTACCTGTGATTTCAGGCATTTGTCTGCGGTTTCCCAAAACATGTCTACGAGTCAAAATCAGGGCTAAAATCATGCAGTCTAAACGCAGCATAACAGTCATAACTCACTATAAATAACCAGAGTTTCTTACTTCACTTATCTTTGCCTTGAAGAATCAGGGCTCTCTCCCGAGACAGCATGCCAAACTCACTTTATAATCAATCATCAGCTAAGTGTAAACTCTTAATTTGTAAACTACTTACTTTTGTTTTCTTTGCATATATGGATTTGTTTGGTTGTTACCAACATCCGGGGAAATTTTAAATTTATTTATAAAGCACCTTTAAAAACATGTTTTCTGAGAAAAATGGTAATGTGTTTAATACTTATTTCCCCCGCTGTAGCTTGTAAAAAAAACACCGTTTTTTTGTGTGTTCTTTAAATGCAAATGAGCTGCTGTTTTCCCAAAGAGGGCGGAGCCTTTACATGCGATTCTGACACAAGAAAACAAGCAAATATCAACATGTCAGAAATGACCAGTAGTGGATTAAAGCCTTACATGATCAGGAGAGGAAGAGGTTACAACTTGTACACTTGCTGGGTGTTTCTGAATGGATAGTGGATACATGTATGTTAATGATGTGGAGTGCACTTAACTAAATCTGTTGGTTACCATGTTACTGCTGTGTTTAGATGTGCTGGAAATATTACATTTCACATTTTTAATATGCTTGCAGATTACTGTTTACCAAATAACAACAACAAACAAACTGGTTGTGATGTTTCAGGGTTTCTGGATTGATTATATTTCACTTAAAACCACTTAAACACACAGGAAAAAGTCAAATTTTGACAATACACCCCCCTTATTATACAATTTTTCAGGTGCACATGCATAATTAAATTTTAGCCACTCTTAAAACATTTTGCTTGGATATGCATGTTAAGTAAATCTGTGTGACGCGTACGTCAGAATCAGTAAAGAGGCTTTAATAATTGAAATCCCCGTCTGAGGGATGTTTTCTTTTAGTCAGGCATCAAGTTTTGCATTGCGTCTTTGTTTAGACTAACGTCAGATGATGATTGAAACAGAACTGAAATAATGAAAGGCCGCATGCCGCATATACAGTCCATCAGTCCAACTGTCACACACAATCAGGGATTTTAGCGTAAAAACCATTTATCTTAATGCCCATTTCAGTCATATCTACTTTTATAGCTGAAGTTTCCCGTTTGAAAGGGAAAGACTTGATTGAATCATGTTTTAGTGTTGCGGTGTGACTGTCATTTACACATTATTTTGATATATCGGTGGACTGAGTTTTTTTTTTATTCATGTTTATTTAAATATCACAGTATCATATTTACACAGTCATTTGATCATTTATAGATTAAGATCAATTCATAAAATGTATATATATATATATATATATATATATATATATATATATATATATATATATATATATATATATATATATATATATATATATATATGCACTGAGCAGGCAAATGGCCGTTGTTCGTCAGCGCTGGTGCTGATGACAGGAAATTGTTCTTGTGTCGGCAGCATATAGAATGATGCACTGAGCTCTAAGACATCATGGACTTTTGACGACTGTTTTTCTGCAGGAAGCGGACTGTGTGATTTGGGCCGTTTCCCCTAAATGATAAAGGACTAACGAACATACAAAAGATAACTGTAGGGAGAATCACAGAGATTAGGACACAAGTCAGAAAGCGGAGAAAAACTAGGTCACAAGGGTGCAAGTCCATCTGTCTGTCTGTAAATCTTCGTTCTCTATTTATTTGTCTGTCAGTCCATCAGCTCATCTATCTATCTATCTATCTATCTATCTATCTATCTATCTATCTATCTGTCTGTCTGTCTGTCTGTCTGTCTGTCTGTCTGTCTGTCCGTCCGTCCGTCCGTCCGTCCGTCCGTCCATCTTACTGTCTGTCTGTCTGTCGTTCTATCCATCTATCCATCCATCCATCAATCAATCTATCTTACTGTCTATCTATCTATCTATCTATCTATCTATCTATCTATCTATCTATCTATCTATCTATCTATCTATCTATCTATCTATCTATCTATCGATCGTTCTATCTATCGTTCTATCTGTCCGTTCGTCCATCCATCCATCCATCCATCCATCCATCCTACAGTCTGTCTGTCTGTCTGTCTATCTATCTGTCTGAGTTTATCTATTTTTCTGTCAATCTGTCCGTCCGTGTGTCTGTCTGAATGTCTGTCTGTCTGTCTGTCTATCTCTGTATGTGTCTGTCTGTCTGTGTCTACTTGGATCAATTGAAACCATTGATATCTGACTCTCAGTTTCTCTTTCCCAGATGCAGGTACACCCCAAAAGCTACATTTCCCCCATGTTTGACCATGTTGCCTATGAAAAAAAGGTTTCTTCCTTATTGTACGACTCTCCCACATCCCTTAATTTCAGATACCCGATATGTTACAATATGTAGGCACTGTGTGGAGTTATGCAGCATGAGGATCTCATTCTATCAGAGAGAGAGATCAGTGAGACGGTGACGCCTCGCACAATCAGAGGGACCACGCTGAGAGCCAGACAGCACTGCGAAAGGAAAGAGCTCCATAATGGAGGAGCAGGAGGTTGAGCACCACGTAATTGGCAAGTCTTCCTGCTTTTCTTTCTTTTTTTTTGCCCACACCTCTCTACTTCCATGCATGGTGCAAGTGATGTTAAATTGCCTTCTCTCTCTCTGTATTCCCTCATTATTTCTCTCTTCCTGTCAGCATTGCAGAACAGTAGAATATGCGATCCCAGACACTAGTCAGATTCGGAGATGGGCCCGAAATGCTGCTAAAGAATGTTCCCTGTCCATCTGTCAGCATTCCTGGGACAGAGCTGCTTTTAGCTTCCTTTATTCAAGACAATCGTCCTTGTCTGCTCTTCATTCGGGTCTGTGTCCACACTGGATCACTATTTGTGTGTGAGCCCGTCCATTATGAGGCGTGTAAGTATTCCTCCCAAACAACAGGAGCATTTTATTGTGCTAATACTATAACGAGGGGAAGCTAATGACACCAACCCAGGGCTTTTTGTTTCCTCTGTAGCAGTGGCACTGTTTGACACATTCAGAGGTCAGAGATCCCAAGCCAATTTCCATTTACTGCAATTTTGGCGAACAGTAAATCCCTATGTTTGGTGTTCGTCAGGATGCAAGGGGCATGCTGGTTTATGGGTTGTTGTGCTAGACTGCAACCTGCTGCATCTGGCATTCTTATCATATCTTTCGCATGTTGATGTAGATTTTTGTGGAGAGTTTATTAGCAATGCTTACGAAAGCAGCCATTTTTTCCACATTCTTCTTCTCTTTGCTCATTTTGTTCGTATTTCTCATACAAACCAATTGTGTTGTTAATTCATTGCAGGTATAGTTGTTCAGACTTTTAGGGGTGTTTAGGCCATTTTTGGATTTCGTAAGGGTCAAGATAAGTTCATTGGTATCCAAGTAACATCCCGACCAACTGGTTGTTCAAATTTCCCTAGTTTAGAGTTTATGTCAATTGAATTATGTCTGACTATGTTGAAATAATGAATTATATCCATCCATCCATCCAACCGCCCACCTATCCATCTATCCATCCATCCATCTATCCATCCATTCATCCATCCATCTAACCATCCATCCATCCATCTATTTATCTGTCATCCATCTATTTATCTGTCTACATCTGTTCATCTTTCTAAAATTGGGATGCAAAGGGTATGCTGGCAAATGGGGTGTAGTTTTTCAGACTTTTAGGGGTGTTTAGGCCATTTTTGGATTCCGTAAGGGTCAAGATGAGTTCATTGGTATGCAAGAAACATCCCGACCAACTGGTTGTTCAACCTATCTATCCAACCCAGGCTCATTCTGAAATTGAAGTCCAGCGGACATTTCTGGAGACCGCGAAATACGTCCCGGGAGGTACGTAATTGTGCAGTTTTTGTTTTCGCGAATCCGCGAGAGGCCGCTGTGCGCGCTTTTTCGTATCTCGAGCGTCTCTCGCGAGTGCCGTTCGCACCCGCGCTGTTCTCGCGTCAACCAACCAGAGGCCGCTGTCTGACTGACCGAATGATTGACCGCGCGACCGGCCAATCGGCTGACCCACCCTCCTCCCTCCCTCAACCCAACCAGTTTTACTGGTTGACCCGCCCGCCCGCTCACTTCCCCTAAACCCGAGAAACAATTTAGAAAAGCCGTGTAGAAAAAGAAAAACCCTCATCTGTTTGTTTTTTTTACCGCTTTTTCGGATTTCACCGCGTTCTCACCCTGTTATGAACTCGTTCGCTTTATTTTTTGGATTCTGTTTTTGTCTTACCTGGTTTCTGGAACCGCTCTTCCCCGGACTCTCCACACGGAGATAAGCGGTCAGCCGGCAAGTGTGAAAGGGAACGGCGTCACACCGCCCCGTAGCGTTCGCTTAAAAAAATGAAATGCAGCCATATGAACCTCCCGGGACGTATTTCGCGGTCTCCAGAAACGTCCGCTGGACTACGTTTTCAGAATGAGCCTGGGTTGTATCTATCTATTTATCTATCTACCTACCTACCTACCAACCAACCATCTATCTTTCTATCTATCTATCTATCTATCTATCTATCTATCTATCTATCTATCTATCTATCCATCCATCCATCCATCCATCCATCCATCCATCCATCCATCCATCCATCCATCCATCCATCCATCCATCCATCCATCCATCCATCCATCCATCCATCCATCCATCCATCCATCCATCCATCCATCCATCCATCCATCCATCCAACAACTAAACCACCAAACATTTGTCTATACATCCATCAATCCATTTATTTATTTACCTATCTATCATCTATCTATCAATGTCTGTTTGTCTGTCAACAATTGGGATGCAAGGGGCATGCTAGCAAATGGGGTGTTATACCGAACTACAACCTGCTACATATCGCTCATGTTTATATATATATTATATAGTATTGTAAGCATATCTAGGGATAAAACGTTAGCAAATAACCATCTAACAGCTACATACCAACTACCCACAACACAATTTTTGTATGGGCAAAAAAGTGGGTTTTCCTAAATACACATGGCTTTTTTTTCCCTTGTCAGTGTCATTGATTTAATTTTAGATGTCAAAAGGGTCAGGATGAGGTCATCGAGGCCCTGGTGAGCTTTAACTAGTGATTTACAGTGTAAGCTGAAAATGCTTCAGGCTTATGAGGGATTGGTTAGCTGGTTGTGTAGGTCGAAACAAGGAAGTATGAGAAATACTTTGGAATTGTAGCCTCAGGTGAAACGCATATCTGTGCAAAATGCCCTCACAGGAGTATAAATCCTGACCCGCTCTTGTTAAGCCTAGAGGAAACGTTTAAGTGTGTATACGTGAATGTATGTAATATAAAAGTGTGTGTGTAAGAAAAAGAGAGATTTCGGAGGATGTGTCTCAGTCTGATGAGCTCTCCTTTCCCCCGGGCTTCATTAAAAGCTCTCCCTCAGAAACAGCCCTGTGTGGCGCTTTGCCCCTCCACCAGCTTTGGGTTAAGAGAAAAAAAAGCATGTTTCCTCTCTCTTTTCTTCTTTGCCATGTGTCTCTTGGGTCCTCAAAAGGCTTTGTTACAGGCTTTTCAAGTAGAAGCACCTATTTATTTGCTCTTTTCAAGGCTAATTCTTGGTTTTCTGCTCATGCTGGCTCTCCTCAGATCCCGAGCGGGATACTGTGACTCTGCCTGTGCTCAGATCCTGAGTCACTGGCTCTGAACAATGGACAGACTTAGAGACGGAGCAGTACATCTTATGCACACCCTGTGTGTACATTCAAAGGTCAGTCTGAGGATGCAGTACATTTTTAAGCCACAATATGGACCCTTTTTACAAGATTTCTACAAGATTTTTAGAAGATTTACAAGTCATGACACATTTAACAGTCATCAGCATCTTAAATCCTTAAATGTTTTTAACATTTAGATTTTTATTTAAAACTTAAGTACATTGATATGTATTTATGTATATATTATATCATCTTTATATCAAATGACAAAAAACAAATTACCGATTGTACAAGGAGTTAGAAATGCAACGCAGGAAGCGTATGGGGGCAGGACAGTCAATTTGACATTGTTTTCTCTTCTGGCTGCCGTTTTCATTTCTTTCTCTGAAAGTCTTGATAACACCATCGTGGAGTTTTTATTTTATTATTTCAGCAAATAAGATTGTATGAAAGATAATTGTTGTACTCTCCTATTCACTGCGCTTTAAGTTTACCCAACTATAAAGACTTCTGCTACCGAGAAACCTGGAAATGTGAAAAGGGTCCATTGGGTTATATATAAAGTCTCCAGTTTTCCATGATGCAGTACATATTATTAAAGCAGTTTTTATTTATCGCAGGGTATTTTTCTTTGGCTAGGGTTTGTTTTCTTTAGATTTGAAGGTACATTTTAGCAATGTTAATATAGTGTTATACCAAATCATAAAGGCAAGGCAAGTTTATTTATATAGCACATTTCATAAACAATGGTAATTCAAAGTGCTTTACATAAACAAGAATAAAAGAAATTTAATATAAAACTAATTATTACAAAATTAATATAACCAAATTACATATTTAGTTTATTTTCCTTCTAATACTTTATTAAAAATCTGCAAATTAGTAAATTTAAGCAAATAAATAAAACAAAGAATATTGGAGTGTTTTACAAATAAGACTTTTTAAAAGTATTTCTATTAAAAAAAACATATACACTTAATTAAATGAGTTACTTCGGGGTTTCCTTGTAATTATTAGTGAAATCTACTTGCAGTTTAAATTACATCTGGAAAAAATAAAGAAATTGCTACACCATATTTATAATATTTGTTGTTTAGATAACGTATGTAACCATATATTCTGAATAACTATCTTTTTGGAAGCAGCATATAAATTGCAAATATATTATAATATTTTATAGACGTGATATTATATTGATTTTTAGTTTGTTCCACATTTTTATTCCATTCAAGTGCACTTAAACATTCTAAACTAAAATTATTATTTAAAATTACTATTATATAAATATTAGGTGTTCATTGGGATACAAGGGGCATGCTGGCAATTGGGTTTTCCTGCCAAACTGCAATTTGGCATTTTATAAGAATGACAAATGTAGTTTCTGCTCTTTGTGCTCTTTCCACAAATGTGTCAGCAGTCTTGGTATAATGTTGAATTTTAAATGGCGGGAGTGAGTTTATTTGCGTTGCTGATTTCTGTCATGTTTGGCGTAATAGAGCCTGCCTAAACGGTTGTAATTCTGTTAGCGAAACCTTTTGAGCTGGCATGTAAAGTCACTGTTTACAATCTCCATATCTGATGATAAATGATATGTATTTAGCTACATTTTCATTTTAAATCCAGTCTTGGCTGCACAGTGTTGTGCGGTAAACTCTGAAAAGTCTAAATAGATTAAAAACAGGGCTCCGGTTTCCCCCACAGTCCAAAAACATGCGGCACAGGTGAATTGGGTAGGCTAAATTGTCCGTACTGTATGAGTGTGTATGGGTTTTTCTCCGAGATGGGTTGCAGCTGAAACATCCGCTGCGTAAAACACATGCTGGATAAGTTGCCGGTTCATTCCGCTGTGGTGACCCCAGATTAATAAAAGGAATAAGCTGACAAAAACATGAATGAATGAAGTTAAAAGAAACTATATTAACATCTTCCCAAGTGAACCAGACGAAAAAACCAGACTCTTCTCAGACACCGAGCATCGGTCAAACAAAAGAGCCACAGGCCGAGGAGAGAGCAAACAGCCAATGTCATCTCTGATTGGCCAAGGTTGAGCAGCGTCTCACCTTCCCATGAACCCCTTCGGTGTCACTGATTGGGCGAGGTGAGCCGAGCCTCACTTGTGTCTGAAATGAGACGCCAGCAGTATGAAAAGAGACGGAGACAGTTTTGAGAGCACTCCAAACATCGCTGATAGTGAAGAGCTGCTTCATCAAGCCGCCGTCATGATAGCACTACTCATAAGAGCAGCAAAAAAGCGCCTCTCCTCCACAAGGCCATTTCGACTCACTCCCTATCATTAAGCAATATGAAGTCTGGAATGTGAATGCTGAGATGTTCGATTTCTGCCCTTTGTGAACTTAAATGGGCCGGGTGAAGTTGCTAGACTCTAATGTTGGAGAGGAACAAAGTGTTTTACAGTGCAAAAATCCAAGGGTGCTTCCTCTGTTGACCACAAGAGGTCAGTGTAGAGATGCTTGATTGGCTAGACGTCTGATAAGTTTGGAGAACTTTTCTAGTTTTCGTTTTGCTTGCATAATCTCAAGCTGTTAGGCAAAAAGCATTGTGCAATTATCTTAAAGGACTCATTTCTTTCTCTTTTCTTTACAGATTTTTAAAAATAATTTATAGCAGTACAATCTCAAGATCTTATTATTTTGAATAAACTACTAAGCTATATATAAATATTCAATTTAAATTGATTTGTAAAGCACATTTCACAATAATTTTTGTTTCAAAGCAGCTCTATAAATTTGGAAAAGTCAAGGTTATTAGTCTCTATAACTTTATTGGTTACTAAAACTTTAACTAATTAACAAGTAACTAATTGCATTTAAAAGTTAAAAGTTATTATTATATATAAACAAAATTAACCTGCAGTTATTTACAAATATAAAGCCAATATTATGACAAAAGTGTGAGTCTATTTTATTTATCATTAATGTATTTAGTACTTAACCAAATAAAACACTTCATTGCTAACTGATCTGAAAGAATGGTTAGTTTACTGTTAAAAATATGTAATATTACCATTAAAAATAACGTTTTAAGTAGGATTAGAAATACAATGTTATACTACATAGAGAAAAAAGACATCCTAAAATTTGGAAGATGATAATATGAACATGAGGACTATGATTATTATTACTTGATGAATTTGTGAGCCATATGAAATAAATATCTGGCTGTCAACTACTGCAGTGTTTCTCAACCACGTTCCATAACCACATTTTCCATGTCTCCTTAACCAAACGCACCTGAATCAAAGCATCAGCTCATTAGCAGAGACTGAAACACTTGTCATGGGTGTAAAAGACAAAGGACACTTCAAAGGAGCACATGCAGTGCTGGTGGTCCTCCAGGAACGTAGTTGAGAAACACTGAACTACAGGCTTATTACCTGCCTATTAATAAGATAGAAATTGTTTATAGACCATTTCAAGTAGTAATGTCATTGGCCCATGAACATTTCCTGCTTGTTACAAAACTATTTCATTACTAACAAGAGGCAATTCAATCATAACTTAATGTAATAACAGCTATTATTTATCAATATTTCTCGAAAGCTATAGAAATTAAAAATGTAAAACAGGAAATACGTTGGGACCCTTGTTTTTGTTTACATCCCTCAAAATGGTCTTTTAGCACTTGTAAAGTTTGACCTTATTCTACAATCTACATAATATGCCCAATACATGAACCAAACTATTACCGTACTAACTATTAATGAGTCAGTAGCTTATTGAGCTAAAAGTATGATTTGTTAATAGTGAAAATTGAACTTTAATATGAAGTGTGACCAAAATCTGAACTAAATTTAAAAGTCTGCCCTGAAAACAAATCAAGACTTTTTCTTTTATTCAGAAAGGGCTAAAGAAATTTACATATAATACAAAGAAATTCTCACACTTGAGTTAGATTCTCACACTTGAGTTAGAGGTGAAATTTGTAGACATAACAACTGAATACTCTTTAATTGGCAATCTTTATTGAACAGCTTGACAAGCTTGAAGCTGGTGTTTAGTTTATAGAATATTCTCATGAAATATGCAGACCTAATTACTGCCTAATTACTGTTAACACTCTTCTTGGGATTGTCAGTGTTTCTGCTGGTCATAGTGATGTTGTGAATGAGAGATGAACACGACACACTGGCCTTCGGCACACTGCCCTACTTTCCTCAACACACACACACACACACACACACACACACACACACACACACACGACCTCTGTCAACCTGCACACAGCCCTCCATCACTGCACACCACACACATATTCACAAAAAGAAAAAGTTTTGTTTCCTCTTTTTGCTACAGTTTAGATTTTCGTGGGCATTACTGCTGCTGTTTTCTGTGATGTAAACACTTCTGCAAATGTGAATTATGCAACATTATCATGTCTATGTCATGGCATTTAGTTTCAAAAAGTGGTTCAATTATATTTTTGGTGGCATTTTGAGTGTTCTCAGTGATAGATAGATAGACAGACGGATAGATAGATAGATGGATAGATGGATAGATAGATGGATGGATGGATACAACTATAGATAGAGAGATAGACAGAGAGATGGACGGATGGATGGATGCAAGGAACTATAGACAGACAGACAGACAGACAGACAGACAGACAGACAGACGGATGGATAGATAGATATATGGATAGATAGATGGATAGATAGATGGATGGATGGATGGATGGATACAACTATAGATAGAGAGATAGACAGAGAGATAGACGGATGGACGGATGGATGGATGGATGGATGGATGGATGGATGGATGGATGGATGGATGGATGGAAGGAACTATAGATAGATAGATAGATAGATAGATAGATGATAGATAGATAGATAGATAGATAGATAGATAGATAGATAGATAGATAGATAGATAGATAGATAGATAGATAGATAGATAGATAGATAGATAGATAGATCTAATAATATAACTTATTTTGCATATATAACATCTACTGTCTCTGTAGGAAGCATATGATGCATTAATGCAGCATATAAATACATGCACATTCATTATTAAATGACTTGTAGTGAAATTAA